GGCTTGACACAGAGAACCGACTCGTAGCCGCTCTCCTCCATCGCGACGCCCGGAGCCCACCGGACTTCCGGTTCTGCCCGCCTCCGCCGCGGGGCCGGAAGCGGCGCGACTCCATGACCCGGGCTCCGGCTAGAGCGGCGGCTCGCGGGACTCAGCGCCTCCTCGCCGCACGCCCTCTGCTGGAAGCTGTGGCTCAAGACACGACGGGCCCCAGAGGTTGCCCAAGGTCCTCGGGAGGTTTCCCTCCTCCCACCAGACACCCTCCATCACCCGTGGTCTGGCTGTGGGTCATCCCGTGGCCCCAGTTCTTAGTCCGGGGCCCAGTTGGCTGAGATGCAAAACTGTAGCCCAACCTGCAACCTCTCTCTCCTGCAACCTTGGCACCGCGCCTCCTTGGTCTCAATGTTCTTCCTTCTCCTGACTCTATGGCTAGCTGGGGCTTCTTCCCTGGGGAAAGCCTCATCTGTCCCACCAAGCGGAGTAGATCCTCGCCCGACCCCTCTGCTCGCGTCCCCTTGTCGGAGCCCACTTGTGTGCCCAGGGCCCCGTGTGGCCTGGGCTCCACAAGGAGTTGTATCTGAAGAAGCAAAGCTGAGCAGCATCAGTCATTTAAGAAGAATGCCAGCCTTCTTAAATGAACATCTCAGAATGTTCTAGGCGACACAATGCCTAACCATAGCCAGATTCTCAAAATCTCTTCTCCTCTACCACTCTCTCGTTCGTTCCACAGTATGTATTGAGGGCCTGCAGCGTGCCAACCCTTAAGTGGGCTGTAGCACATGCCAAATCTCAGATTCGCTGAATACTTCCAAACGCCCTCCATCCTCTTCTTTCCTCCCTCCCTCCCTCTCCCTTTTACTTACTCTGGGTGAGCTCTTTATTACAGGATTGATCTAACCTCTTTTTTTTTGAGTCAGTCTCACTGTCGCCCAGACTAGAGTGCAGTGGCTCACTTCTGGCCACCGCAGCCTCGACCTGCTGAGCTCCGGCGATCCTTCCTCCTCAGCCTTCCAAGTAACTGGAACTACAGGCACGCGCTACCATACCCGGCTAATTTTTTTTTTATTTATTGTAGAGATGAGGTCTTGCCAAGTTGCCCGGGCGGGTCTCGAAC